CTTGCTGTATAATATTTTTCACAAATTTACAGTGTTTCTAAAATTATAAGCCTACACCGTTTCAAATTCAGCAGACTTGGATCATGAACATGATCCAAGACACATCATGTATCATCTTTATCCTTAGCAGGACCCTTCCCAAAAGGCCACATCGAGACTTTCAGACAAGATCAATTGGCTGTACCATCATCCTGAACTGTACCAGGAAATATGTGATCACTTGGATGCATCATGTACATGGTGCATGAAATGAGGGCAGGAACAGGATACAGAACCCCAAATGTGGGATACCTTGCCTGGCTTAGTTAACCACACTGTAAATATTTCCCACTGGGTTGCAGATGGCTTTAGCTATTTCTAAATGTGCCCATTTTTATCTTCATTCCATCCTCACATGATGTTGAATTTGTGGCTATTTTAACAGCAACTTCTATTCAGAAAAAAAAAAAACAGGCTCATTTTTAATTTAAGATAGCTTTTGTAGAATAGCTCTTTATGGCTGGGAGTGGGCCATAAGGAAAGGGAATTTCTGACTTGATCTGCTGTAGGTTTGATTGGAAATTTTCATAGTGTGGCCTTGTGGGCACAGTGCTGCCCTGGGATGTGGGTACCTGGATGCTGTTGCAAACTCTTCTCTAGGGAAAGTTGGGTGAGTTTTTGCCACCCTTCATTTTAAAGAGGGACTGACAGTTGATCAAATTTTTATCTTCATGGCAGAAAATACAAATCAATATTTATACCTACCAATTATTTATACTTAATAATTATTAGTCTACTGTTCCTTATTTGTGTCCTTAAAGCTGAAGGTGAACAGTTTGGGGATAACTTCAGTGGTCACTTTGGTAGGATTAGGGCACTGGAGGCAAGTTATTTTTTCAAGGCAGTAATTATACGGCTTTTGCTGTATTCTTGTAGTAATTATTTGTTTGAAAGTGTATTTTTTGTGTATTATTTGCCTTATAGCAATTATTTGTTTTCAAGTGTGTTTGTTTTCAAGCACTCAGTGTGTTAGGGAAGGCAGATGACTGAGTGGCCTTTGGATATTTCTTTATTACTGCATAATTAAATTGTGCAGCTGTCTCATATAGAACTGGTTTATTTTTGAGGGGCCTGATGTGGACATCTCAGTGGTTCCCAAAAAAACAAATCAAACCTGTTCTACAGGAGTGTTGTGGTTATTATGGTTGCAACCCCATCAGAACTGAAGCCTGATAGGAGGTGAACTGGAAATGGCTGCTTTAGCACTACAGGCTGAGAGTTGTTTTTCCTTCTAAATGTCTCCAAATTTATCTGCCTCAAAGCAAGCTGATTTTTCTAATCTAATTTCTGAAGCCAATTACAGCTTTAGAAATGGCACTAATACAGCTGTCCCTGATGAGAAACAGTGAGACCACTTTCACTCCCTGACAGCAGCTCAGTGTTCTGTGTGAAGATGAGCAACTGTGTGTGGATTTAAAGGCTTGGGATGGTGTTGGACCAAGGGCTCTGTGCTGTGCTTTGCAATGCAAACCCTTCAGGCACTTTTATCAAACCACTCAGATACCCAAGCAGCACCTCCTACCAATTACAGCTTTTTAAATCTGGCCTCCAGGCTTGAAATCTGGGGGGGAAAAAAAAAAATAAAATGTGTTAAAGGAAATTAGCTACCATAGCCATGCAGTCATTTTTTATAATGAGGATGTAGAAAGCAAGGAAAAGTCATAGCAAAGAAAGGAAACAAACAACAACAACAAAAAAAAGAAAAAAAAAAAAAGAAAAATATCTGCTACTGAGATGAGCAAGCTGGAATGTCAGAGGAGAGACAGGATGATCACAGAAAGGCAGTGTGAAAGTTGGCAGCCAAGGAAGAGTGGAGGTGCTTTACCAGATGGAGGTGGAGGGGTCTGGATGCTGCAGGGTGGGTGATGGCTTGGCACTGAGCCTGCTGCAGTCAGGAGCATTAAAGCTCTCAGAAGCTTAAGACACAGAAATCGAGGTGGGTGGGAAATAGAAAACTAGACAAGGAGCCTAAAAGATTTATATGTTAATGTGATCCACACTAAACGACTCTAAGTGTTGACTAGGACTCAAGGTGCAGACATTTAATTGCATTCCTTGAATTGCATGAGCCCCACTAGCATCAATGTGGTTGTTCACATACTTAAAATGACCACGTGCTTTAACACTTTATTGCATAAATGTGTCAGTAATAAAGGTGTTTATATGTGCAAACTTCGAGTGGGAACTGATAGTAGTAATGTCATTAGTGGCACAACTGACATAAAGTTTTGTTCATGTATCACACACTTATGCACTTAACCAGTCATCCTGTAGTGTTTCAGAACAGATTTGAGTCAGGATAACCATGATAATCAAGAAAATAGTTGTTGTTTTGGTCTCAGTCCTGACAGTTCCTCTGTCAAGTTCTACTTCATAACCTGTCTGCATGTGAGCACTCAGCCCTTCCTGTTGGCAAGGTCAGAGTCACCCTCAAAGGCATTCCCAGAAAGTCCAGTTTTGTGAGTTATATCACCCAGGCCTCAAGACACACACCCCAGGAAGTGTGATAAGAAACACTCTTTCTGGGACACTGAGCCACTCACATCATTCTCACAAATATTCCTGCTTCTTATTTCTAACTCCTGGAGTCATTCTGGGGGAAGAACTACCTTTGCTGTACGAGAGACACTGAGCAAGATGTCTGTCACGTAGACACCCTGTTTGTAAGGATATAATTCTTACAGACCAGAATTAATGCAAAATCCTCCTTCCCTTTCTTTGGTCAGCACCTTTGGAGCAGGTGGTGCCTGGTACATGTTACCTGTGAATTTAAACTACCCCAGGGCTGCCCTCCAACACTGTCCTCAGCTGAACGTGCCTCTCTCATTCTCAAGACAAAGCAGGTCATACCTGTTATATTTATCATGTAACTGGAGTGCTGCTTTTCAATCTTCAGAGAAATCTTTGAGGTTTGTTTATTTTTTTTTTTAATTGTCTGAGTCTGAAGTTTGACTCTATTTGATTCCTAAGTGTGTGGTGGAAAAAGAGGGCATTTTAAGGGACTGTTTCCTCTTCTGTAGTTGTAGGCAGTCCAAAATGACAGCCTCTGTTGTGTGGATGTCCTGGACACCTCCCAGTTGCTGCTGTGAGGAAAAGTAGCTGCTAGGTTCTAGCAGAAGACTCAGCAGTGAGAAATCATGGCATTTGGAAAGGCAGAAGGAAGTGTGATGACAGATGCCTCGAGGAGGACGGTTGCTCAAAGCACCAAAATGTCATTCCTGCAGCTCTCAGTGCAGAGGGCACTGTGCAGAGCTGCAGCTGTGCACTGTGATCCTGCTGCTGGGTCAGCCCAGGGCTGAGTAAATCCCCCCTCACAACTATCCCGGGTTCTGGTGCAGCAGCAGGCATGTACTGCCCAAAGAGAGATGTGTTACTCAAACCCTTGTGTGAGAGAATTCCTCACCATGTAAATGGGGAGCAGGCAGAACAGCTGTTGGCACTGCAGAAAGTGCAGCCTAGACTTTGCCTGTGTTTTGCTAAGGCTTCTCATGAGAGTGGTGTCAGTGTCTTCTTTCCAACCCTGACTGCTGCTCCCTAAAGGTTTCTGTGGCATGGGAATGGAGAAGGCAGGCTCCTCTTTCTCCTTACCTCTGCAGGTTCTGCCCCTGTCTTCCCAGGGGCTGGTGTGGGGCCGTGTTTTGGATTTGTGCTGAGCACAGTGATAGTACAGGGGTGGTGTTGTTATTGCTGAGCTTGCACACAGCCAAGGCCTTTGCTGCTTTTTGTGCTGCCACGCTGGTGAAGAATTTGGGAGTGCTTGGAAAACTGGGAGGAGACACAGCCAGGACAGGGGACACCAAGGGGATATTCCAGACCATGTGACATCATGCTCAGTGTATGAAGTGGGGAGAGGAGGAGGAAGTGGGGATGTTTGGAGTGATGGTGTTTGTCTTCCCAAGTCAGATGGGATGGGGTCCTGCTCTCCTGGAGATGCTGAACACCTGCCCAACCATGGGAAGCGGGGAATTAATTCCTTGTTTTGCTCTGCTTGTGTGCTTGTTGCTTTCCCTATTAAACTGTCTTTTTCTCAACCCACCCAAAAGTTTTCCAGCTTTTAGCCTTCCAGTCCTCTCCCTGATCCTGCTGGTGGGGGAGTGAGCAAGCAGCTGTGAGGGGGTTGGCTGCTGGCTGGGGTCAAACCAGGACATTACCACAAGAAGCCTGTTCAGCAGGGAGCAGACAGGGATGTGAGCAATGCCTCCAGCACCACCTGCATGGATTGCAAAAGGCACAGGGAGAACAAGCCTCAGGTACCCAGGAGTGACTAGGAAAAAACTCACTGAACCTTCCCTGTGTGTGAGGCACCACAACTGGTTCTGTGAGAACAGCAGCGTTCCTTCAGGTGTCTGCAACAGAGATGAACAAAACACACTCTACTGTGCATCACTACATGCCAGGCTTCCAGCCCACTCTGCCCTGCAGGTTCTGAAGGGATGCACAAATGGAAAAGCAGGCTTTTTGAGTTGCATTTGGAAATTTAAGCACTTCGTCTTTCAGCTGCTAAACCCACATATTGACCATTGCAAAGTTAAGGGAATTTTTTTGGCCCCAGGCCACCTCCAGCCCCATCCTGATCCTAATACTTTTAGCTAACAGTCTGGTTTTTCAGACAGTCACAAGGACTGTGGTACAGTATCTGCTAGCATCATGATGATTCTGGATTGTATCATCAGCTGCATCACGAAAGCACCCAAAAATAATTGAGCTGTAACGTGTCTTCTGCAAGTGGCTGCAGTCATCTCCTGTGGACAGGCCTGTAATGAGGAGGGAGGTCACAGTCTTTCAAGAGTATGTCACATGTTCCTGTGTAATATGACTTATCTTAGCCAGACTCACTAATCAGGCTGGAAAATGATGTATGCTTTTCTTACATCATACGTTGTAACTTCAGAAGCAAGCCTGCTTGTTTGCCAAACATAATTGGGATAGAGTAACCTGCTATTATTTCTAATTACCTTTATTATCATAGTTTAGGTACTGGGTGCTAAGAAGCATAAGTGCTGAGTTAACAGAAAAAAGGTTACAAAAGCATTATACTGCAATTTAGATGCTCAGTCCTGACTCTTTTCTCACTAGTTTCTGTGGGACTGATCATGGGAATCAGGGACATAAGTTCAGTGTCTAAAAAGAGGACAGTACAAATCAGATATACTTCAGGAGAGAGAGTATTGTTCTGAAGTTTAATTTACTTTCCACTCAAGTTCTTAAACCTCCTCTTTCTGATCTTATAAAATGTTGGGGATGTCTTTGTCTTGGAGTCTTTTAAACATGTAGATGTGGTGCTTATGGACATGGTTTAGTGGTGGGCTTGGAGTGCTGGGTTAGTGGTTGGACTTGATGATCTTGGAGGTCTTTTCCAACCTGAATGAGTCTATGATTTCCTAAAGCTCCCTCCCTTACGACAGCCTCTTCTGAGCTAAATTTGAGAGTGTTTCCAGATTTCCTGTGGTCCTGGTTCTTCCCACCACACTTCCCACCACAATTCCCAAAACTTTGTACTCGTTCCACCTGCAGTTACACAGCACAGCAGCAATGATTTTGCAAGGCTGATATAACCTAGTCCTCTCACTTGTCTTCTCTTGCAAGATTGGTGACTTCCACCAGGACATGAACGTGTGACCACCTAGTGAAATGAATGGTACCAAACTTAGGGAACAACTGATACCCACACGTTTACTAAAGTTCATATAAAGCAGGAAGGGGGCATCAGAGTACTAAGAGAAATTAAGGCACAGGGGAGATGCTTTTGTGACTTAGGAAAGCTGAGTGAAAATGTACTTCTAGTTGAGAGGCAGCTGCAATGAGCACATAATTAAAATCTGCTGGAGGAAGTGAAATCTGTATTGGGCACTGACACAGAGGGCAGTTCTAGGGAAAGAGGCTGTTAAAAAGAAGCTGTTGCTCAATAACTTCTACATTAGCAGGCTGGGGAGTTTCAGAACTGTCCTGGTTATGTTCAGTCAGTCTCTTGATGGGCTTGTGCAGGAAACCATTCCAGGAGCAAAAGGAGAGGTGTCTGAATCTGCCCACTATGTGAAGCCTCAGAAATAAGTCTCATTTGCTCAAAGATGAGCCTTTCTTGTGTTTACATTGAAGAACCCTGCATGAGGACCTGGGGCAAACAAAGATGAAAACCACATTTATGAGAAGGCTACAAATCCCTGTCATCCATCTCCTTGGACAGTGGCTTAGTCATCAGGGTGGGAATGAAGGCTCCCCCGTGATTCCTGTGGAAGCTGTGGAGTAGAAAAGTGTAGGGGACAGGAGTAGGGAAAACTTCAGAAGTGCATCCCAGGAGTCTTTGGCTTCTTCCCCCTGGAATTATAAAGGAAAAGCTGTAGGATTAAGTGAAAACAATAGTTACTGGTCTGTTTGTTACATATTTACTTGTAAATACTGTAATGCCATTCACTTCATGTCCCATGACAATTTATGTCAGATAAATACTCCAGCACTGAGCTTTTCATCCTGTAAATGTCTAGTGATATACTGCCCATTAGATCATAACAAATCTTAGTTTTAAATGCAAAGCCTTAAGGAAAAAAGGTCTGTTTGTATACATGATTTGTTGTGGTTTGCACAAAGGTGTGTGAGCAGTTGGGTCTTATTCTGCTTTTTATTCCTTCTCTGTGAAGGAAGGCAAAAGAGTTAGAATGAGAAAAATAGAGGTTATATTTTCTACACATGATGTTGTACTAATAATATATAACATATATAATAATATTGTATTAATATTAATAATAATGAATACAGGGTTAACATTCAGTGGTCCTTTGAATCTGCTGTTACAGAGAGAAATCAAACAACTGAAATGCAGAAAATGGACTGTGAGTGAAACAACTTTGAGATTTTTAACTGAATCTTATAAGCTGCAGCAAGGATTTTTTTTTTAAATGCTATGTAGATTGTACTTGCAGATTCAAACATACTTGAGATACATGCCTCAAAAATTTATAAAAATTATATTACTGAATGCAATGATCTCCTCTATAGCTCTTTTCTGATACTTTTAAGAGCTGTTTCAAGATTTAAAGGTAATTTTATACAACCTTTCTCTATGTTTGTACCCTCTTCTGATTGTGAAATGAACATTTGGCAAGCTTGGTTGCATTGTCATGCTTTGCAGTGTTGCTTATATTTGTCTTTCCAGGAAGCTACAAATTAATAAAGGTTACTTGACATCAGGAATGTTTTTAAACAGAAAATTTTCCAACAGAATTAGGAGCGTGTCTTAAGCTCAATTAAAGCAGATATTTTGTGTGCATTAAACTTAACCATGGAAGGGGTTCCTGTTGGTACTGCAGGGCACTGTTTCTTTGACTTGGAGTCTGTGCACTGCTGATGGGCCACAGAACAGGGAAAAGCAGAGAAATCCTGGCAGACATGGAGACAATTTCATATCCGTTCCCTTCTGGGAAAAACAAAAGGATTTTATAGTCTAATATTTAGTTGGTAGTACCAGGATGGGAATGTGAACAAATTTCTTATGTTTCTTTGGAAAATAGTTAAGTTATCATTCAGTTATCTGTTGCTCTTTTTAAAGGCAACGTGGGTATCTGAGGAATGAAACACTTAACTGCAACTGGAAGTTCACAGTGAGTTGTGGGGCCAACTTTCCATGGTTTCTGTGGGTGTTTTAGGCAGCTGAATTCTAAGTTTGCCCACTTGCTTCAGAGCTGGGAAGCAGCATGTTATGGATTCAGTCAGGAGACCTGGTGAGTTTTGAGGACAGCTTTGGTCTGGTTGGATTTCTCAGGGAGGGAAAAGGAACAATGGGGTGAGTTTAAGCAGAAGACTGGGATTGAAGTTCTGGATTCATTAAAGCTGTCAGTAGATAAGGAAGGGAATGGTTGCATCCCCTCAGCAGGGGACATCACAGCCAACTCATAAGATTGGGAGTTGAAGGAATGTGGGTTTGTTTGCATTTTGAGAGGCTTTTTGAGGTCTTGGGCTGTGGGAGCCGACTGAGGAATCTACAACTCAGGATGAGTAAAGTGCTTGTGAGCTGTCTGGGAAGGGTTTGTGCAAGAGGCCACCACCTGACATTAGACCTTTTATACTTTTAGGATTCATCAGCGAGCAATTAACAGCTGGACCTTCCCATAAAACTACTGGGGGGAAAAAAAATTCCCACGTGCTCTTTCTGTTGGACATGGGATTTGAATGGAGGTTGTATGAAATAGCGTTTTACAAAGGGACCAGTAACTTTAGACTTGTGTAAAGACCCTTTCAAAGTAGTTACACCCCTGCCCCACCAATTTAGAAGCTGATCCAGGAGGAGTGCTTTCTCTCTCCATGCTCCTTGAAAGAATTACAGAATTATAACCAATCTTTGGTGACCCATCGGTGGCGACCTACACGAGAATATTTTTAGGTGTAAACTCGATAAACATCTTAATGCCTCGTTAAGAAGGCACCTATGAAAAGTGTTTTTCTGGATTTTCAATTTTCCATGGGTCAGGCAGCCCTTGGGGTGTTGATGTCAAGGGCTGGCTTTCACACCTGACCAGTTGCTAACGGGTATTTTTTATTAAGCCAAGAGATGGCTTGGCCCTGACAGTGGGAGAAAGTCCCATGTTTGCCAAGTCTAAAGTTACCACTTTGTAAAACAGGGTTTCATATAATCTCCATTCAAATCCCATGCCCGACAGAAAGAGCATGTGGGATTTTTTTTTCCCCAGTAGTTTTATGGGAAGGTCCAGCTGATGAATCCTGAAAGTGTAGAAGGTCTAACGCCAGATGGTGGGCAGATTAATGGGGGCAGAGCTGCAGCATGTGCTGGAGGAAGGCTGGAGTGCTGACTGGTGTTACAGCACCAGGGCAAGGGGTTTGCTGCCTACAGAGGGCAGGAGGCAAAAGAAAAGGGCCTGGCATTCCAGGAAAGGCAAGGAAAAGGGGGGCATTCAAGGACAGGCAGAAGCAGAAGTGGCAGCAGTTGTAATGCCAGGAAGAGGAAGCCCTGGTGGTGTCTCCTTCTCTTCTAGATGACTGTAGTGAGTCATGGAGAGGAGCAGGTGACTCCTGAGGAGGTGTTGCACCTTGCTCAGCTCGCCGGGGTTATGAGGAGTCACCCTGTGACTTCCTGAGCCTGAGGGCAGAGCCCAGTGTCTCCCAGACAGTGCTCCCCACTTGGTCTCTTTGTCTCTGCCCCTCACCCTGTCCCTTGGCTGCCTTGCCCTGACAGACATGCCCCCAGGCCAGCTCCCCAGTGTGCCTGAACTCTGACTTCATGGCAAGGACATCTCTAAGAAATAACCTCCTGTCGTGTCTGGACAGCAAATAGAAAGGGGAACCTGTGGTTCTGTTGTTCTCTCTTACAATCTTAATTATGTTCCTGGACATACCTCAACTGTGAGGTGTGAAATGCAACCACCAAGTGGGTGCCTGCAGAGCTCTGGGTGTGGAAACACTTGCTGTAGGCTGCAGCATGTTCTCCTACACACCTGTCTATAGCAAAGGTGGTGATCTGAGACTTGCCAAAATTTTGTGACCAGCCCAGTAACAGCTGATGTGCATGGACTGAGACAGGTTGTATTCACATTGGTGGCAGCTAATCATGACTGAGGCTTGGTATTTCCAGAGAGTGCATCCTGCTCTTTGGGGCCAGGATTTCCATGGCTCCACACTGAACAGCATTCCCTTGGTACTCATGAAAAGGCTGGAAAATGTGAGCAGGCACCAAGTGTGTCTATGCAGTTATATCATTTATGCTAAGTTTGTGACGGAGTAACACCTCAATTTACAAACCTATAAAGCAGCAAAAGACCTAAAGTTGTATTTTGGTGCTTATGCTGTTAGTTGCTCTATGTGTATATATATATATTTTTTTTTTTTGTGGTATAACAGGGGTGGGCAAAGCCACACAAGTCTGTGAGTAGAGAAATATCAAATTAGACTATAGAAACAGCTTATCCTGAGGATACACTAAAAATTCCTGTGTATAAGGCACAATTATTTAGCTGGGCTTTGAAATGCCCCCATGAAATCATGCTATGCTTCTAGTTCTGCTTGGCAAATTTAATGCAAAATAAAGATTAACGCTAGCGAGTGCATTTTCTTTTTGTTTTCTGAATATGCAGAACTTGGGCTTATGTTGATCTTGGCAACAAATGGGATTAAAAGAGGTCATCTAAAGATAAGATTGCTTATCCCAACTACCTGTATTCTTTCTTCCTCCGAGTCTCCCAGTTAATCTTCACTTAGACTCTGCTCGTCTGGGGCGGGGAGGAAAAAGCAGTGGTGTTTCTTCTGAGCTGGTGTAAATTATCTTCTCCCTTCCACAGAGATGATGGAACACTTCAGGTCTATAGGATAAAAAAACCTGTGAGTTTGGAGAATAGAAAGTAAGAACTTGCTGTAGGAGGGTGAATCCTCTGCCTGCACGCATCACAGTCCTTTCCAGCCTCCTGTGACGTTGTGTATATCCGGGGAATAATCAGTATTAGCCTCATCTCTTGTGGAGTAAAATACATGTTATCCCCTTTTAGAGGTGGCAAAGAAGGGGTTGATCTGCTGAACATCATCTTTTGCTGAAATGAGGAGCACAATTCCAGCTAAATGTAACGGGGGCTGTTCTTTGCCTGGGTGTGTGTGCACGGTGGGAAATCAGGGGGCAGCAGGCTGGCAAACAGGGACAAGGTCCCCTGGAAAAGGGGTGAATAGGATGAGGGAATTTTCTTATTCAGAACTTGGCTCCAATGAGATTAAACTTTTATTCTTTGCTTTTGAAATTGACTGAATCAAACAAACCTTGTTTCTCGGGTTTACCAAAGTCAGTATTTAATCATTTAGTATTTAGACCATCATTGTACTTACTCCTATTTTTGGAGTAATATTAACTTCACATGACAAGTCAGGGAAAAGTCTATCACTGTGGGTAAAGTTGAAGTTAAGAACTTCTCTGAATTTACCAGCTGGGATTTAAGATCAGAATCTGGTTGTTTCACAAGATGACTGACACAATTCCACAGCCAAATTCCCTACAGCAAGCCAGCATTCAGCAGCTGGGAAAGAAGTGGGGGGAATGGTGAGTTGTGTGACATGGTGACCTAGATTAGTAAATTAGAATGGATTAGGGAAGGGGAGAAAAGGATTTTGTGCCTTTCCAGTACATGGAAGGCATGAGAAGATGACAATTACTGTTTTGTACACAGTTGAAGATGGTTAAAAATTGTAAACAGCATGGTCCTCAGCAGCAGCATTGCTCAGAAAATGCATCCAGACATCAGAAGCACCTCGGGGGCATCTATGTGTGCCTGGGGTGTATGCAGGGAGCAGGCTGAGGGGTGGGAATGGACAGCCCAAAAAGCCCCCACCATTTTGTCACTCCTGCCACAATAGAGACAGAACCTGCCAAAGGCTGGGGTTCTGGAAGAACTGAGGGCAGAACGAGCAGCACTCTGTTTTTTGGGGAAGGGCAGAGGGCAGGGGAGGTGAAGGTCAGTCTCTTCCCATGCCAGAGTCTGTCTGACCCACTAACCAGCTCTGGCTGGCACTGTGCTGTGCCCTCTCCCTTGCACACCCGGGAGGGGGAAGCCTGGGCTGCCCCCAAGTCACAGGATGTTTGGAAATGTGCCCCAGCACCCAGAGCCTCCCTGCCCTGACCCCATCTTCAGGCTGCAGACAGACCCAACCCACCAGCTGCCTCCTGCCCAAAGGCACAGGCTGCCTCTGGTACCTGCTCTCCTGCCCCTTGCTGAGCCAGCTCAGCTTTCTAACCCACCAACTGCTCCCTTTTGGCTTTGTGAATTTAGCTCATGGCTGAGCCCCAGGTCAGAGAAGCAGCAGGAGAAATAAGGGAAGATGGGGAGCACACAAACACCTCAGGCCTCTCAGCTTCCCTCACCCTCTGCTCCGTGCCAGGGAATGCCTTTCCCCAGGTCACCTGGCTTACATAAGCTGTAAGGAAGCTTTTCCGTGGGTGGGGAGCTGGTCAGCAGCAGAATAATGGTTTAAGTAGAGAAACCCAGAGGGAAACAGAGGGGGGAAAAAAGGTCTTTTCTGGCAGCATAGCTGCTCCACCCAGCCCCCTGTGCATGGATGCTCCTGTGAGCACAGCCAGGGGTGGCAGAGGGCTGGCACACACTGCCTGGGCTGGTGGTGTTGCCCAAAAGCTCACTGGAATTTTCTGCCTTGCAAGACGAACTGCACAAACTCCTCTGTGTGTGTGAAGTCCCTGTTCCTCTTGTGCTGGCACTGCGTGGTTCTGTCACCCAGCCCCTGCCTTGGTTTACCCATCTGCAAGGTGTAACTCCTTGGGATCGTTTTCTTCCTTTCTCCAACTGGAAGGGGGAAAAAAAATCCAAGACTTTCAAATCCCTGGTATTTAAAGAATCAAGGGAACCAGGACTACTCTAACAAAGGCCTATATTTATGCAACAGTGTGTGTGTGTGTGTTTACATCCCACCCACACACTCTGCTGACAACATCTTCACCTATGTTCAGCTCCATAATCTCCTCTCTAGAATTTCTTAGGCATTTTCAGATGTTAAGAAGGGGCTAAGGCATGCTAAGCAGCTTACTGCTCTCTGTTTACACAAACAGTCATTTCCTTTTATTACAAATGTTGGTTTCACGCTGGTTTTGCCTCTGGGGGTGCTGGGTGAAGGAGCAGCTTTTCCTGTGTCTCCGGTTTCTCTGCAGAACGGGAACCTCTGTAAATAGGTGGATATAAAGGGATCTTCCTGTGTTTCCTGGCTGATGGATCACTGTGTGCAAGGCAAAGGGGCAAAATGCATCATAACTCCTGGGAGATGTTCTGCCAGAGAAAGTATTCACTATGTACATATCTATCTCTAGAATAATTCCCTAAATACTATTGGTCTTAGAGTTGGAAAGACAAATACCTTGTCTTTAGAACTGTTAAAGGTTTCAAGCCTTTTCTTAGGTTAAGACCAAGGTTTGCTGAGAATCTGCCTCAGCAACTGTTAAAAGGTGCTGATTATTAGGCCTGTTATGACAAGGTATTAGGTCTAAAGGATTGTTTGCCACCTGGCAGTTACTAGACATAGCAACATCCATAACTGTAATTAAAACTAATAATATAGTTAATGTAGAAGTGACACAGCTTAAGAGAGAAAACAGTAGCCCTGTTACAACAGAAAAGGAATTTGTGCTCTGCAAGGCAAGATTTGAAAAGTCTAACTCTGGAGACTATCTGAATTTTCCCCACAGCTTGTTAGCCATACTCTTTTTCCCTTAGTTTTCCATCATAAACAAAAACATATCCTTCAAAACTAACTAATAAAAAAAATGGAGGTTGCAGGTTAGCACTTGGCTTGGTCATTGCTGTATCTCATTAGTAGGACAAATAAAGCTGCATGGAATCTTTTGCAATAAGCTGTTGCCACATACATACCAGGCCACAAAGTTATGAAACAACAGCAAAATTAAGATATATTTAAAAAAAAAAAATTGGACCATGTTCATGTGTAATACTATTAGGCTACTTGTTCCATGCAATACTTTTGAAATTATGAAGAGTAAAGGCAATGGCTGTGCTACCAGACCTGAGAAGCAAATTGTAACTCTCAGGATTTTTTTTTTTTCTCTTTGAGGAGGAAAAACACAGATCACACCAAGAAATTCAAGATATGAAAATTCTTTACTTCTCCTACCGGAACCAGTCATGCTGGTTTCCAGACACCTTCTGATATGAAAATATGCTGAGTGCATAAATTAACAAAGCAAGCCTTGGTCACAGCACTTGGTCATTGTTCTCAGTGCTTTAGCATGAAGTGATTATTGATTATTGGTGAGTGGATGACGTGCCCTGTGGATTAAGCAGGCCCTGGTGAGCAGCACAGTGATGCCAAATGTGCCCTTTCCATGGTGCTCTCCTCTCCCTGCTGTCATTTGAAACACTGTCTGCTCTTGAGAGAGACCCCTTTGCAAACAAACTGGCTGAAGGCAAATGTGTCAGTATGTTTTGTTAGTTAGCACGTGCTTTGTATTACCTCTAAATTCGTGTTACCACATTTCTCCCTCCCACATCACCCAGAGCAAGCGAGGGCTGGCAGCAGAATTAGCATTTCAACAGCCAGAATTTTTGGAGGATGTGGGATGCACCTGGATCTGCGAGCCTCCTGTACACTTTGAGAATCAGCAGTAGTCACAAAATGGTTTGCACAAGGAAACTGCAAACCAAATGGTGGTACACAATGTATAGAGAGAAAATACTGCTGATACAGCTTCCAAAATGAAGTTCCCAGTTTTCTAAGAGCACACAGCTTGAAACAGGGCCTGTAAAGGTTTGGTTGTTGTTTCTTTTTTTCCCAAAGCCAGACTTACAACCCCCATACTTCAGCCATGTCACACAGAACATAGGGCTCTGCCTCTACTTAGTGTGGGATCCTAGCAAAAGGTATGGGAAACGGATGCTTGACTTTTATTTTCTTTTCCTTTGGAAAAGATTATGGCAGAAGCCTATGGAAAACACCAGAGGTTGCTTTGTCTACCTGGTTTTAGGTTTTCTATTGCCCTTTTCATGCAGATCTTCATAGCTGGTTTCCCTTTGCCAAAACTGGGGTCTGTTAGTCCACAATCACAGCTAAAAGTCAGAGAACAGACTTCTCAGCTTAGTCCAAAGTGATCATTGGGATTATGCTGGGAGGCTTGGAAGCTGCACTAAAATTGCTCAAACTGCCATCTCCTACTGTATGAGATGGGTAGAAACCACCTTTTCAGATCATACTTCCAAATTTCTACAGCTTTAGGAATGTGATCACCAGATGCTTAACCCAAGCCCCAAAATCCTTGCTCAAATGTTAGAATCAGGCCCAAGGGAAAAGCTTTCACTAACATGACCCACTTTACACCTCTTGCCAAAGAAACCTGAGAGGAGTTTAACTTGAAACCTTTGCAAGCTTAATGGGCCATGAGGTGACACACAAAGAGAAAAAAATCCCCACCAAGTGCCTGTGTGGATATCACTGTTTTGAAGCCAATAATGGGACAGGAATGATGCTTGTGCCAAGTGTAGCTTCTCCGGGAGGTTTAAAATAGAGAGTGTAGCGAGGGTGTCTCAGTTGATGTTGCAAACGGACTAAAAACAACTAGAATTTATTTTGGCAGGAAAATTTCAATATCCTTTCTTTGTCCCTGCTGCCCAGTGTAGAGCCCTGAGGTGGAAGTCAGTGATGCATGTGGGGCCTTGGCACGAGGAACGTAAAGGATTCCTTGCCCGGGTTATGGTCCTTGTCCTCAGCTCACCTCCCTCTGCAACCCCAACACTTCTCCATTCCTGCCTTGTGGCTCCTCCTGCATTTTAAACACTAAAAGCTATTTAACACTCTTCTGGCCACTGTTCCAGTAGGATTTCCCTTATCCAGCCCCGGTAGGGTGATCATACAAAAGGAGTGGAATTAATAATTGATTATAATTTCTGTGGCAAATCAGCATCTTCAGAGGAACATAAACAGGAATTAACCTGAATAACAAAGACAGTAGAGCTCATATTCCTTCTCCCCTGCATGCACTGAAAAAAGAGGAGGGAACTTGCAGCATCCCATGTAAGAGATCTCAAAGGGAGTGTAAGCAATGCCTTGGTTTTGCTCTTTGGATCCTTTTAGGGAGAGGAGAGCACGGCTTTCTGTCACGAGACGAGATTTTTATTCATTATTATGCATTATTCACAAAAGGCACCTAAAATTTGCCAACAAATGATTTGTGTTTCTTCGGAAAATTTTCCCAGTAGAGCACTCCCAGGGGGGTGTTAGGCAGAGGTGAGGCTTTGATATTTTTAGATTAGGTGGATGATCACTCGATAAGGTCACTTGATAAGGCCACACAGACGTGACAGACGGTACTGGCAACTTTCCTGGGCTCCAGAAATCGCAGCAGGTACTTTGTTACCCTTCTGGAGAAGTTCTAGGCCGTTGGCCTGGCTTAGCACTCAGTAAATCTGACTTTCCCTCCAACTCGGAAACCACCCTTGCTGAGTGATACTGGACCAGCTTCACTGCTCGTGTCCCTTGCCACCTCCCCCACGAAAATGGGTATCATGAGACATCAAACTCTTTTCAAAGGCTTCATGCCAAGTGAGAGATTAATGATTACTAGTGAATCCCTGACACAGAAAACATGTGCTCTTTCCAAACAGGGCTTGGCAAGCACCTCTTGGAGCTCTTTCTGATGACAGAAACTGCTGTGGGATTTTCACAGCTGGCCAAGATGACTTGTCACCTGCCCAGTACAGGTGACAGTACTCCTTCCCTCCTGCTGGTGCTCCATCCTATGTGGCTCCTTTTCCTATCAATTATATACCTTCAGCTGGCCCAGTATTTAATTTTACCTTTCTTCTTATGAGTTACAGGCACTTTACGAGTGCACCATCAGTTGCTCTCTTCTTTTATGACCGTTTGATTTAATCCATGTCTTAAGAAAATGGCATGCCTACAACATAATTATCACGTTTGCTAACTGGAAGGGATTAAGGGTGGTTAAAGGATGGACAGAAGGTGTGTCTGTTGAATTCATGTGCCACACGCTGGGTTGGGTTGGTGTCTGCTTACAGAAGTTTCCAAGTTTCCTGGTAGGTTGTACCCCCATCAAACGATATTTGATTTTCATCATGTGGCCTTTCAGACCCTACCTCATATTCCTGGAATTTTGGGGAAATTATTATGGACTTGAGTCAGTAAAAGATTTTTAAGATGTGTCTGTAACACAGGTTACAGCATATAGTACACGTAGAGATATCTGATATAAACAAGATAATCTTGAAACTGCATCCTGTGCAACCACAGTGGGGTTGGTTGGTAGTGCTTGTCATGGGGCTGCATCAGATTTCTCAGATGTTCCAAATTTCAGAGCTAGCTACAGGATCTTTATCCTAAACAGCTATGTGCAGCTAAACCTGTAACTGGAGTTAAATGAATACACTGAAAAAATGTGAAGAAATGGAAAAAAAAAAAGGAAAGAAAAAGAAGGGATTAAAATGGGTTTGGGGTGAAAGAACAATCATCTTTGTAGGCCTGGAGATAAGAGAGATGAGATTGAAATGAGATAGCCAGCGATTTGCAAAGGTTTAGTGTGACAAACTAATCTACCTTTTTGATGAGAGAGCTGATTTTCTTGGAAAGGGAAACGGGATCCATCCTGGGATCCATATGCGCCTCGCCTTAAATGTTCTGGGGTGGTTTTGTTTTGGTTTTTTTTGTTTGGGGTTTTTGTTTTGTTTGTTTTTTAGTTTTCACGATTAATTATTTGCTAATCTAGAGATGATGTAGGGAAGAAATTGCAAGATCTGTTAGGAAGCAACCCAAGGAGATACAGACAGACCCTGAAAAAGAGTAGGCACGTGCAGGAAAGGGGAGTCCAGTGTTGGGAACAAATTTGGGGCCGTGTACTGAGGAACTGCAACACATTTAAAAAAAACTGATGCAAGTTGAGCTGGTCAGGGACCTGGATTTACCAGCTCATCATAATACAAATAATCGGAATTAGTGGTTTAGCTTCCTCAACAAGGACTGTGTTGGGAGCATTTGTTCCTCATCAGAGGCATCTGGAGAAGCTGAGAATCAAAGAATGGGGAATACAGGGAATAAAGCTTAGCACTCTCAACATTGTAAGTGATATGTGGGAGATACCAGTGTAAAAGGACAAAGTAGAGGATGGTTATGAACTGGCCGTGTATCATTTTAGAGTAGAGGTAAGATTCCTCCTGACTGTTCAAGAAATGTGGTCAAGGAGCAGCCTTCTAGTGACAGTTTAGGGATAAAAAACATTTTTAAACAGAGCTGATGTCTACCAGCAGATTTGAGATTAGTACTGACAGAACCATTGGTGGGATAACGTTCTGGAAATCTCCTGCTTGCCTGCTGTTTCATTGGCTCTCCCTGTCACATTTCTGTGCATGTCCAGAAATGTCCCTCTCTGAACACCTCAGTGTCTCTTCTCCAAAACATGGAGTAAGAAACTGTACTCTCTCACACTTAAACTCTGAGTAAACAGCATGAGAGCACACGTGGAGAGAATACAAAACTCAGCACAGCCGGCCCTTTCCTTTAGAAGAGAATGGAGAAAATACAGGAATCACAAGCACATTTTTAATGAAAATAACTCTTCCTAGGAAGTGTGAGCTGTGGTTTCATCTCTCTTTTCAGCTTCCTCCTCCCCTGTGCACTGAAACGGGTTCAATCTCACACCTTCCTTTTCCCTCAGACCCTTCTGAGATGTTTCACAACACCACGGCCCATGCAAGGAGCTGAAGAGGTTTTCTGCAGCCCTGAGTGAGGCAATTAAATCCTAGAGGATTTCAGACTGTGCTGTTCTCCGGGTTTATTTTCACAGCCAGGCCCTGGGGAGCTCCCTGCTGGGCAAGGTAATTGCTGTGAATTCCCTCTGAGCTGCTCAATGTCCACTAGCATTAGGGAGGGAGCCTAATGGAAACTCTGGGATTTGTGGCGACAGGAGTCACGCACAAATGCCAATTCCTCTCAACTTTTGGAGGAAACCTGCCCCCTTTTACAGGGAGCCAAACCCTGCCTGGATGTGTTCAGATGCCTTTAAGACTTCCAGAGGATTTGAGCAGAGCAACATTTAGTGCAGCATAGCACTACACAGAAATACCTGAATTAGGGAGGAAAATAAGCCTGCAGAGCTCCAAGTGTGAGGCCTTCAGGTGCTTAAAGATGCCATTATGAGACATCTGGAAGTCCACCAGTACCTGACGCGAGGTTTTGATGCATCAGGCAGCTGGATACTACTGAAACTCTGTTAGATGATGCTGTTCTAGACTTTAGATGGCATTTTGCTGTTTTGCTTGAACTTCTGTCTGTGAAATGCTGGTAGAACACTAACAAAGAATTGCTTGCAGACTGAAAGCAGATTATTCTGTAATCTTCCTGTTATAAACTCGGTGTTATTATCAGGAATTTTCTTCTCTTGAAATTTCAGGATTATTGAGCAGTGCTCGCTCTTACAGCAGATCACTAAACACCCATGGTTGTACACGCTGCCACGGTGGATTCCTTTGAGCCTTGGATAATCAGGGTAATTGCTAAGCTCGCACCTCCCACGGGCTGCAGGGATCGGGGCCGATCCCAGATCCCTTCCGATCGAAGGGCGTGTTCCCCCCACCCACCCCGGCTTGCCGGTACCGCATCCCACCGACCCCAGGGACCCCCGGGCCCCCCTGCTCCCCATTCCAGTGACGCCCGGACCCCCTGCTCCCCATCCCATCGATCCCTGGACCCACTGCTCCCCATCCCACCGACCCTCCAGACCGCACTGCTCCCCATTCCAACTGATCCACGCGGACCCCACCGCTCTCCATCCCGCCGACCCCCGGATCCTGCTGCTCCCCTCGACCCCCAGACCCCACTGCTTCCCATCCCACCGCCCCTCGAACCGCACCGCTGCCCATCGCCCGGACCCCACCGCCCCAGCCGTGCCGGGGGGCGGGCGGGACCGCTTCGCTGGGGCCGTGAGCATCCGGGCGGCCCCGCAGGGTGGGAGTGCGGGGACAGGCGGGGCTGGGGGCCCGAGGGGCCCGCGGGGTCCCGGAGCTCCGAGGCTCGCTGGGCGCGGGTCCCCCCGCGTTGCGGGGCGCGGGAGCGCGGCCTCATTTGCATGCTGGCCTCGGGTTGGCTGGGGCGCCTTGGGCCACCGGGGGGCGGCTCGTGATTGGCTGCGGCGCGGGCCGGCGGCGGGGGCGCGGCCGCGGGTAACGCGCGGGGCGGCGCCGGGAGCGCGCACAGTCGCCGGGCAGCGGCCGCCGCGCCCCGTCCCCGTGTCTGTCCCCGTCCCCGCGTCCGTCGGTGTCCCCGCGCCCCGCCGGCCACCATGCTGGACCGCGAGGGCGGCTGGAGCGTGTCCTTCGCCGGCTGCGGCTTCCTGGGCGTCTACCACATCGGCGCGGCCACCTGCCTGCAGGAGCGCGCCCCGCACGTCATCCGCGACGCGCGACACATCTACGGCGCCTCCGCGGGCGCGCTCGCCGGGGCCGTGCTCGTCGGGGGCGGCTCGCTGGGTGAGGAGGGGGCCGTGCGGGGCCGGGCGAGGGGCAGGGGCGGTGGGAGCGGCCCCGGGGAGCGCCCGGCGGTCGGCGGGGCTGAGCCGGGCTTAGCCAGGCTGGGCTTGGCCGCGCCGGGTCGGGCTGCGCCGCCCGTCCGCTCCGTGCGGGGCTGGCTCCGAGCCTCCCGTTTCTCGTCTTCTGCCCCTAAAAAGGAGCGTGACCCCCTTCGGTGGAATTAAATCCGGACGGGGTACACGGCGCAGGGAATGGTCTTGGCGATGCTTGATCCTATTCCCGAGACTTGCGTAGTAGAGCGGTGGGAATTCCCCCCCCCCCAGGTGTAGGGCAGGGATGTGTGTGTGTGTGTCCCTTATCCCCAGGTATGTGTTCTTGTGCCCCTCCACCCCCAGGTGTCGGGCAGGGGGGTGTTTGTGTGCCCCTGGACCCCGAGGTGTGTGTCTGTGTGTCCCTCACCCCCAGGGGTAGGGCAGGGATGTGTGTGTCTGTCCCTGGACCCCCAGGTGTAGGGCAGGGAGCTGTCTGTGTGTCCCTCATCCCCAGGTGCAGGGCAGGGGGGTGTGTGTCTGTCCCTGGACCCCCAGGGGTAGGGCAGGGGGTTGTCTGTGTGTTCCCTGGACCCCCAGGTGTAGGGCAGGGGGTTGTCTGTGTGTCCCTCATCCCCAGGTGTAGGGCAGGGAGCTGTCTGTGTGTTCCCTGGACCCCCAGGGGTAGGGCAGGGAGCTGTCTGTGTGTTCCCTGGACCCCCAGGGGTAGGGCAGGGGGGTGTTTCCATCCCTGCACCCCCAGGTGTGTGTTTTTGTGCCCCCCGAGGGTCTCCTGCGCCCCCCGGGGCGGTCACAGCCGCTCTTCCCATCCCCGTGCAAAGTACGGGAATGAAAAGCCGGGCTCGCAGGAGGCAGCTGAGCCCGACACCCGTCCTAAGCAAGCCGGCCCAGCCTGTCCCGGCTGTAAACAGTGTTTGCGCTGCGTTGGGAAATCGAGCATCTCTCCGCGGTTACCTTTGCACGTGGAGGGTCAGGTGGCTTTATCTTGCTTCCTCCAAAGCTTCTCCTTTCTTGGGGTAAGGCTCAGAGAGTTAAGGTCAGGGCTTAGGTTAGCTTTAACACGCTTTTCCTCTCTAATCTGGGCCCAGTGTATGTTGCAAAGGTCGCTCAGGTGTGCGATTAGGAACGGTGGATTGATTAAAATCACTGATTTTAATTGTCATTTAAAGGAGAGAGTTAATCTTGTTTTGTGTTTATGCTGGATGCAAGGTGCTAGTTTGCAACTCAATATAATCTGTCCTGTGAAATAAGTACCTGTTTTCCAGCAGTAGGAAAAGTATACCTTTTATTATTAATTTATTATATATATTTATTATTTATTTATTATATATATTTATATACATATTCTACATATAATATACATATATTATATAATATATACTATAAATACTATATCGTTACCGTTTTAATACCTCTACCTATTTAGGGCTCATGAGAATCCAAACATACATTTATCCAGTGAATTAGCCATTACAGCCAGCTTGATACCAGCTCTGCAAATATCAAGGTGTTTATTGTAGTAGCTGGACTGCAGTTTAAAAATTTGTATGAAATGCCTGGAAATGGTTTTCTTTTTAAACTCAAGAAATCCACTGAGTAAAAGCTTGTCTAGTTCATGGCTCAGCACTGATTGTTTCTGCTAGTGGTGCCTTCGACTGGTTTAGAACTAGGAGGCTTTATAAATTCAGATTTCTTCTTACTTAGAGGATAAGGAGAACATTAAGTACTTATATTTTGAATTTGGCAAGGTTCACGGGTTTTGCTTTTAAATTTCTGAGGGAACAATTCCCTGACTAAAACAGACAGAAGTTCTCTGTGTGTGCAAGAGGGTAATGCTGGGAAATGCTTGTCCCTGCTGCTTAACCACTGAACTCTAGCACACAGGCTTAATTTCTTCAAAGCTTTAGCAGGAAACTTGTGCTACTTAAATTTCTTAATTTAATTTTGCTGTAATTTCCTGACACAGCACACTTATTATGAGGCCAATATCGTATTTTCCCCCAATAGCTGTTTAGTTTTAGAACATATCCAGTTCTACGTCTTGTCACTGTAAATGATTTAAGAAGGAAGCTGCTTTAAATATTCGAAGCACTCTTAAGCACAGAAAATGTATATTGTTTACCTGACAGTATGAGTTAGTAACAGCTTTTAAATCTCCTGGTATTTTAATCATTGAGAGTTGCAGACTTCAGGTTATTGCTTTGTCTCTCCCTTCTCATACACCAGCTGAGATTTTTGGTTTCCTCTAACCAGTAGAATATCCTGCATGTGTGTGAACACTGTCCAAGGTAGAGGATTTCATGGCCAAGTGCATTTCTTCTGGAAATTTAAAAAAGAAAAAAAAAAAAAAGGTATTACTTGGAAATGTTGTAAGACTAATTCAAAGCCAGCCACATCCTAAAATCTGTTAATAATTGTAAATTGATAAGACTAGGAAGGTATTCCCATGTTAATTTTTAGCTGTAATTTTTGCGAGCTTGTGTGAAAGCAGAGGATTGTAAATAAGCTCTAAAAAAACAGTATGTGCTGCAATAATGTGATGTATTGCATGAGATTTTATTGTACACCTCCCTTACTCTGATATACTTTGATGTGCAGTGTTTGTGGTCCCTGCAGTTGTAGGTATAAGTAAATCCCCTGTGTTTTCACAGTTGCATTTTACTGTGGGAAGAGAGAGCCAAAATCTCCTCAGAGATGAGCAGTAGAGGGATGAGAGGCAGCAGACACGAGCTGGAACATGGTGAATTCAGAGGAGGTGTAAGGAAAAGACAATTGCCATGAGGTTGTAAAATAATGGAAGTTGTGGGACCTCCATCCTTGGACTTGACTGGACCCAGCCCTGAATTAGTCCGTTTTTTGGCTGGTGCACATGAAGTGACTGTGTATTTGTGAACAGGGGTTGTGGCTAAAATTGAAGAGCATATTTTAAATAAAGGGTTTTCTTTTTGCTTGATGTTATCTGTTGGATAGGCAGAAACAGTCTGTAGAATTTCAAATTTGAGTCAAAGTAATCATTAGCCATTGAATGGAAAAAACAAAGTGTACTTTTCCAGGCTGACCACAGAGCTTTCCTTCATTGTACTTGGGGGAGGCTGGGAAGCTTAGAGGTGACTGCTTTTGAGGATGAAGTACATTCCAGGCTGTTCCAAACTGGAATGGTTAAGTGGCACTCCTGTTGTTAGACATCCCCCATGGATGTCCTGGAGAATCTGGTGTTTTGAGGGTGCTGTGATCATCCATTCCAGTGGGACACTAAAGAGAACAGGTTTACTAGAGCCTGCAAATACAATGGCAGGTTTTACCCTGTGGAATAAACTCAGGTTTTACTCTATGAGAAACAGATTATTAGTTACATAACAATTAAAAGTAGGAATGTAGAAATATAACTAGAAACAGTTCACATTTAATAGGAACATTAATTTCTTTAGCTCTCCCGTGTTTCAAAAATAAAACAGATATGTACCAAGGTCTGACTTGAGCTCTAGCCCTTGGTCCTTCTTGGAGAAGGTCCTATTTTGGAATACACCAATGTGTATTCCCGTGTTAATTCACTGTGTTCTATTGTAATGTAGCTGTGATTTTAGTCCTGTTGAGGAGAGAAGGCAGAAGGACAAGAAGTTGGAATACTTTGAAGTCTGTTGAATTACTAACAAACACCTTTTTAAATTTTTGGTGTTTTAATATCACATACTCTTGGGTAGACACAATTTTATTTTTTTCTTGCTTTGGAGCTCTTCTTGTTTTTAAAATAGGTTCCAATAATCAAAATATATAATTATTCTCCCTTAGTTTTTCTCTCTATAGACTCCCCAAAGTGTTGAAATTCTTGTACGTGGAGGAGATGGGTAAAATGCTAAATCAAATTTCATTTTGATGGGTAGTTATTTTCTGAGAGGAAGCTGAAATGAGAGGAATTCAAAATTATTAGAGGTCACCAGTTTTGCTGCCCTTTAAGGGGTATTCATAATGTGAGCTGATACATTTCTTTACAATGAGAGAGAAATAATGACAATACAAGGTTAACAAAGAGCACTGGTTTATTCATTTTTTCTGCAGAAATAGGCCTGCAGTGCAAATAAGTAAAGATGTTCTCATGCTTCAAACTTAAATAATACCTTGAGCTTCAGTTTGACAGGATGCTGTCTAGAAAAACAGGGTCAGGACCTGGCAGAGAAGTGAAAACATGTATATTTATTTGTTTGCTCTTGGTCTGTATTTTAGAACAAACAATTTACCAAAGTTTTTAAAAAATGACCTTATTTTGCAAGATGCAATTACTGCATGTGCTCCAAGGCTGCTTTTCCTGGCCAGAGTTCTGGTGGTCCAGTATCTCCTGTAAAATGCCTCATTCCTTTCTTTAGGAAGTTCTGGAATGTTGGGCATTGCTGAATAAAAATAAATACATAAAAAAAAAGAGGTGGTAACTTATATCTGAATGCAAGAAAATTAGAACT